TGTAATGGAGGGTTGGCCAGGTGAAGTGGCAGAAGAGTTGAAGGTGTTTCAGACTAAAAGAGACGAGTTATCGATGGAACAGGGTTGTGTGCTATGGGGAACAAGGGTTGTTGTACCTTTCAAAATTCGAAAATCAGTGTTGTATGAACTTCATGCAGGACACCCCGGCATTGTTAAAATGAAAGCCCTGGCTCGTGGTGGCCGAAAATTGATATGGATGTGGAAAAATGTTGCAAAGAGTGTGAAACTTGTCAACAAGAACAACGAGTGCCCAGTCAAGTTCCTCTTCATCCATGGGAGTTTCCGGGTGAGTCTTGGAAACGTCTGCACATAGATTTTGCTGGCCCTTTCCTGAACAATATGTTTATGATTGTAGTGGATGCTTATTCAAAGTGGTTAGAAGTCTTCCGAATGTCACACATTACATCTCAAGCTACAATTACCAGATTGAAGCGATTGTTTTCAGCATATGGATTACCAGAACAGATTGTGACTGACAATGCAACTACTTTTACTTCAGATGAATTTCAGACATTTGTAAGAAGGAATGGTATTTTGCATACTACTGGGGCACCTAGACATCCCGCCACCAATGGGTTGGCAGAGAGATATGTCCAGACCTTTAAGGTGGGCATAAAAAAAACTGAAAAACGAGCAGATGTGCATTGAAGATAAAATATCTTTATTTTTATTGCGCTATCGCACCACTCCAAATTGTACCACTGGCCAATCACCATCTGATCTTTTCTTGAGGAGACATGTCCGTACCAGGTTGGATTTTCTGAAACCGAATATTCATGAAGCAATATTTTCAAAAACGCTTACATGATCATAAGGCACGGGAAAGGTCCTTTGCTGTTGATGAGTCTATTTTCTTGCGTAATACAGCTGGAGGAGATCCAAAATGGTTGTCTGGAGTGGTGGTGCAACAGACTGGACCAGTATCATATAAGGTGTGTGATTCATCATCAACCACTATGTATAGACAGCATGGTGATCAGTTGAGGCCACGTCATTCTTCATCAGAAACTGATCAGTTGAGTTCGTACAGCTCATTGGAGAAACCAAGTTCTGAAAAAGAGTTGACTGATTCAAGCAGCCAAAATTCAGGGTTGACGGAATCTCCAGCTGTTGAATGTGAATCTGGACTTCCTGTATCTGGGGCGGCAAGCCCAATGGGGCCTGCAAGCCCAGTGGGGCCACGTCGATCTAAACGAACTATTAAGTTACCACAACGTTTCAGAGACTAAGTGGAAACATAGTAATGTTGAATTGTATTTTGTGATGTTTGATTTATGTAATGATTATCTTAAGAGGGAAGGTGATGTGGTGTATTGGGATAATGTGTGTGTGTAATGATCTGGGTGTTGGTCTCGCTATTGATTGGTTCTTGACAACTATTTAAGCCATGTGATGTATTGTTGTGATGACGTTGTTTATATCTAAGTAAAGCACGCTTGATGGCATTTCTGTGTGTTTGCCTCGTAAATATATAACAATAAATATATAATGGTGAGTTACGCTGTTGGTCGAAAAGAGCAAGAAAGGCAGAAAAGACAGGCCATAATGACGGCAAAATATTGAACAAATGTTCATAAAGACAGGTAAGTGACTTACTTCCTAACAGATGAAAATCTGCCCCTGAGGTGCTAACTGGCCGCATTAGCCTGGACGTCCTGTATATTTATTGACTTGTCCAGTACTTGACCTCCCTTTCCCTATTTCTGACTTTTTTTTAAATAACTGCCCGATGAAGGCTTTAATGGCAAGCGGAGTCAACAGCTGTCAGATGTCACTTCACAGCAAAAGGCGCTAATCCCGTCATGTCTGTGTTTTTGAGGCTGTTTGCTCACTTATTCTGATCGGATATAAACCCGATCGCTCAAACCACTTCAGAGGGTGATCTGGGATGCATTCCAGATGAAGCGGGATAGGTATTATCATTTTTTGGACAAAATTAATATAAACTAAATAAATCATGACCTGGAGAAAATCTGACCTGCGCTTGAAACACCTGTAGGTGCGCATTTACAGCCAAAATTCTATTAAAACATGTTTACTATAAGCATAAAACATGTTTTAACTTTTCAGACCTGTAGCCAGAGGGTTTCGGGAGGTTCGGAAGAACCCCCCACCCCTCACTGACAAAGGTGCAGAATTTGACCCAACTGAGCTCATTTGTCATATTTTCATCCTATTTTGTCTGCTATGCCATCATAAATAATGAAAATAATCCATCAAAAAAGGCTTTATTTTTTTAACCAAAGAGGCTAGAAAAAATCTAAAGGATTAATTGTTATTATTATTATTATTATGTTTTAATGATTATTTTTTATTGAACTGGCCAAACTGTGACTGAGGACAGTTGAATGTGCTGGCCAGTTTGTTTTTTGTCTAATACAAGGGTTTTCAAAGTGTGAGGCGCGCCTCCCCTGGGGGGCGCCAGAGCATGTCAGGGGAGGCGCGGGAAAAATATAATATAATAAAAATATAATTATTAAGTTTAATTATTATATGTATTTTTTATTATATTTAAACGTTTTAATTAAACAAAGCAAAAAAAATAATACGTCAAAAATAAGAAAACCTTTTTTACCCAGAAAGCCATAGCTTTGAATTCGCTTCTGTTTGGCAAGCCCGCCAATACAGGTATATGCCTGCTAATACAATGGGTCGGTTTCTGAGACCCCCCGATTCAAAGCCTTCAAGTTCAGGGCTTAAACCCAAGAGACGTTTGAGTTTAGGATTTACGTGGACAGGACCAGCTGATGAACCATAACCTTTATGTGTGGTTTGTCAAGATATTTTGGCTAATGACAGCATGAGACCCGCTAAACTTTGACTGTTTTTACTGGGATGGACAGCTCTTGGATCTGTTCTATTCATATTGAACCATCATCCTAGTTTTAAAAACGTTATATTAAAAATACTTGTTATTACTCTGTAAATTATTGCACTTGCATGCAAATGATGATAAAAGTGAGTTAACAGTCTGACATCTGTGTCTTTATATATACTGTATATATATAATAAAAAAGGAATGTGAAAATGAAAAGGAATGTGAATAGATATAACAGCCTTGTAATGAATTTAATACTATTAATTTTGTTTTAAACTCCAAATAAAACACAATAACAGCAAAACAATGAAATAATAGCACAGACTACATACAAAGTCATGGTTATTATATACCCAAATATGAATAAAAGTGACGATTTTTTATTATGTCTCATTTGAAATCATTTACGCGAATAAAAGTGAAACAAGATAATAAAACTGCAGTGCATTAAACACACGCGTCTTTAATCTACCGCGAAACACCGAGTAGACGCGCACTGCAGTTTAAGGCACATATAGCGTGACCGTCTCTCTCTGAACCGCAGATGGCGTGACTGCAGTCGCATCCCTCGCGGTCTTTTATCATTTCATGTGCGCGGCACTGCGCGCTGCTTTATTTCCGCATAGTAATGATCTTTATATCGCAGATCAAGTGCAGTGAAGGGATTTAGACGCGGTTGCATCAATCACAACAACTTGGTGTAACAACTTTTATATTAGGAAAAAAGATACTGTGGAAGTCAAGGGATACAGCTTTCCAGCATTCTTACAAATATCTTCTTTTGTGTTCAACGTAAGGAGGAGAATCAAACATGTTTAGGCCTATTACAAGCAAAGGGCGAGTAAGTGACAGAATTGTCAGTTTAGGGCTTTAGGCTGTCATGGCAACCACATACAATGCACAATATGCGGGATATGCGCTACTAAGAGTAGGAAATATGTCAGCGTAAGATCATTTCTACGGAAGATTATCAGACTTTAGCGTTAGTGACGAGTTTTTGAAGTTAGTCTAACAAGTGCAACCATTACATTAAACAACGGATTGGAGATGCTTTTATACTAAGCATTCTAAACTTTCCCACGAAGTTCCATAGTAACTAACGCATGTAAGGGCATATACAGTAGCTTACCTTGTCATTGCTGGGGTTGACAGGGATTTTGCTGATAAACTTTCTAAACTCCGGCGATACATCAAACTTCAGCAACAGTGAAGTTTCCCGCAGATTTTTCTCACGCTGGTGCTACAGTGACGTAATTTCCGGGCGCGATTTCTTTTTTCTTTTTCCGTTGCATTTCTTTATATATTTATTTTTTACTCAGTAACGCATATGATTTAAAATGTAGCGAAGTACAATACTTTAGGCAAATCATACTTAAGTAAAAGTAAAATTACAGATTTTAAACTCTACTCTAAAAAGTACAAATTCCCCCCAAAAAAACTAATTAAGTACAGTAACGTGAGTAAATGTAATTCGTTACTTTCCTCCTCTGTCTATGAATTATGACACAGCACAGCTGCCACTGTGTCAAGTAGTTTTCTAACGTTACTTGCCATTTTCACTAGCCACAATTTTGTTGTTGAGAAAATATATTTTATATGCTTAAATTTGACTTTTCATTATTGTACAATTTTTTTTATTTTACTTGATTTAGGACAATTAAAACGTATCTAATCACCCAAAGTATGATATACCAGCTAGTATAGATTAGTCAAGATAGTCAAGATTTGAGGTAGTTCAAAGCCTTTTATCAAAGATGATATAAAACCAAAACAACCCAGCTAACATAAGACCAACGGGCCACTGGCGGCCCGCCGGCGACAAAGTCGGCGGTCCACCGGCGGGCGCCGCCCGCGGTCCACCGTCAATTTGCTCATCGTTATTCCAGCGGCCCACCAGCGGCTGCCGCCGCTTTTCCGACGGTGGTCCGCCATCGCACCGCTGGTTTTAAATAAGTGTCTGCTGGCGGCCCACGGTCGGTCCACATGTCATTTTTAAATATTATATTAGCCTTTACAATTGTATTCAATATAAATATGTCCAATAATGAAATCAAGTACAAAATACTAATCATTATAACATTTATTTATAATACTGCATAACGAACATACATTAAACACTTAATGAAATGTTTCAAAAACACATAGCCTACGTTAACAAATATAAAAAAATAAATATAAAATACATACAAATATAATATAACAACATGCATACAACAGTTACATTTTACAGTGGTTTTATAAGTAATGTTAATGGTTTAAATGTGAACTAATATATGAACAATACCTGTACAGCATAATTTATGTACAGCATTTACTAATGCATTAATAAAATCAGTCATGCTTGTTACATCCATTCTTGTCTTAGGACAGCTTTGTAACATTTTTGTGATCTACTTCAAATACTAACTAACATTATGTTTGATAGGGTTTGAACTCTATTCACTAGTTCACACTTATTGATTGGGATCATTATGGGGCATCGGTAAGAATGCACATAATCCAGGAGTCCAGTCAGAGGTATTTAATGGGTTAATTTAAGTATGCATGTGTGTAGTTTACTCATAAGCTTGGCTGTGATACATCTGGCGACTCAAATGCCTTTCACGAGCCCTCTCACGAGTCCTCTGTAGCACTAGAGCGAAACTACAAGTTGCGGCAGTCTCTGGGGGCGGGACTAAGGCATAGCTGTCAATCAATTCTAAACTTCTATTAAATCCCTAAACATTTTCAACAATATACCTGTTGTATCACTAGACATTATTCATTAAAATAGATTACTTTTAAGCAATACAATAACAATGGTGCATATAAGATTAACTGAAAAAAGACACTTTAACTATTTATTTAATTACTTTTATGACTTATTATTTGAAAGCAATACATACTGTGTTGCTGCAGAGTGTAAAATAAATCTGCACTAAAATTTAGAACAAACAACATTTTAGCTCATTCATTATAAATTACAAAAGTAATTAAAGCAAATGTACATTTTGATATGTAAATGAATAGCACACGGATGTGGGGGTGAAAGTAAAGTATATTAAATATCATAACAGCTTTCATCATCAGAATCATTTTCTTTCTGCTGGTCTCTCTGAACCATGAAAGCTGGCCTTTGAGACCGAATGCTTTCAATGTGCCACAAATTGATAGCTGAGTCTGGATCAAAGTCTGTGATGGAAGCAGAGGATAGCTGCACCGTGAGAAGGTCTGACAATGTCTGACTTAGGAAACCAGCCTGCCAGTCACTTTTGACATTCTTTATGGCACTAAATCCCCGCTCAAAATCTGCTGTTGAAGCAGAGATGCAAAGGATGAGATCAATCCAATCAAAAGATGTTTTGTAGAGCACTGAAGTCCTGGTATAGCCTCGACTTTAGAACTGTCTATTGGACCAGGACTTCACCCACCTTTACACCAGATCTCAGCAGCACAGGTTCAAAGTGATGCGTAATGAGTGTATATGATATATATAAAATTATGTAGAATATTTTGTTTGAATTGGTCACTTTAAATATAAAAATTTTAACTCACTAGCATTTCTGCCTGCCTCTGGCCAGTATTGGAAGTTGGTAATCCGCATGGCACGCTGAATCTCATGACTGACATCTCCAAGCCATTGTCTTTGACAGCAGGTCTATCAGGTGGTCTTTGAACTTATTAGGTGTGGTCATCACATGGCTTTAGACTGACACCCTCATATCAGTTTGTTCCCAGCGTGGTCTTCAGTTTAGAAACAGGTCTACAAATGATGAACGAGAGAGAAAGCAAGAGTGAGAGACTTTAAAGGACTTAAGATATTAGTAGCAGTAGTTTTATTTTAAAATGATAAACATACACTTAACAAGTGATTAAATCATAAGAGTCTGTTTTATGGCAATACCTTGATTTGTATTTAAACATTAAATCCAAGGTATAGAGGACAGGCATTCATGGACTTCGGCCACAGTCACAGAGGAGTGCTGCATAGATTGGGACTGACTGCTGAGCTGGGTTAGAACATCACGAAGAAAGCAGGTGAATTTGATGACAGTGCCATCCTTCATAATATGGAGAAAACCTCTGGCTTTTGCCTTCTGCAATTCATTTCCAGCAACTTCAGGTGACTGTGTCTGACATAAATGCAAAGAATGTAATAAAAAATCATTACTAATCTACTACAATTAACAAACATTTTTTTTACCACAATGTATTAATTTCAGATCACAGTCCCCTTACCATGTCTATCGATCTCTCTCTTCCTAAACAATGTTACTCCTGGCGTCTCAATCCATATTTATCAAAGCAAGATAAATTCATAGAATACATTGATACTAAACTAAAAGACTTTATAGAAACCAGTGATAATGGGGAGGTCTCCGACTCCACACTGTGGGTAACCTTAAAAGCATATGTTATTTCTTGTGAATCTGTTTCTAAAAGAGAAAGAGAGAAACGACTTAAGGAAATACTGTACAAAGTATTCCTCCTACTCACGAATTGGCATATCTAACGTCGAAGTCGTTTAAAGATTATAATAAAATAATAAACTCAAATATGAATATAGTTGTATTCTGGATCACCAAATAAACAATCTTTATTTAAAAAGGAAGTAAAGATATTTTGAAACAGGTGATAAGCCTGATAAGCTTTTAGCGCGTCAGCTTGAAGGAATTCAAGCTTCCAGGTCCATCCATAGTATTAAGTTCAAACACGGCACCCTTTTAGTTAATTCCAGTAATATCAATGCCGAAGAATTCTACAGGGAGCTTCATACCTCCAATAACACGTCCACTCATAATAATTTATCAAACTTTTTGAATCTTTTGATATGGCTAAACTTAGTAACAATGCAAGGGCAGATTTAGGCTCTGATTTTACCAAGGAGGAGATAGATGCTGCCATAAAGTCATTTCCATCTGGTAAAGCGGCAGGGCCAGATGGATTCGGCCCTGAATTTTATAAGAAATTTAGTAATGTTGTCTCCCCTCTGCTCCTTAGGATGATACATAGTTTCAAAAAAGATAAGATTTTGCCCAGTACACTATACAAAGCTAACATTTCTATTTTTTTGAAGAAAAACAAAGATGAAACTGACCCAGCCAGTTATAAGCCAATTGCGCAACAAATATTGGATAGAAAAGTGATCACTTAAGTGTCAGGCATGCAACTTAATAAACATTTATCATCCATCATTCATCCCGACCAGACTGGATTTATCCCTGGAAGATTCTCTTTCTTTAATGTACATCGCCCTCTTAATACAATATTTGCCAATCATGCAAAAACAACAGGGGCGGCAATTTTATATTTTGACGCACAAAAAGCTTTTAATCAAGTTTAATGGCGTTATTTATATCATTACAAAGGTTTGGATTTGGTCAAACGTTTATGTCATGGGTTAGATTAATATACGCCAAGGCCATGAGTTCAGTTTTGACTAATACAGACAGATCACCTAAATTTCCTTTATGACGATCAGTACTACAGGGTTGCCCTCTCTCTCCTGCCCTTTTCGCTATTGCGATTGAGGCCCTAGCCCTAAGCATAAGATGTCACATAGAAATTACAGGCCTTCAAATGGGAAACAGAGAAGTTCTTATTAGCCTTTATGCAGATGACATTATACTGTATCTGTCAAACTCTGAGCATTCAGTCCCAACTCTTTTGAATCTTATCAATTCTGTTGGAAAAATATCAGGATATACAAATCAATCTGTCCAAAAGTATATTCATGCCCCTTTCTGACATTTATGACCCTGACTTCCTTGAAAGTATTCCATTTAAAACAGTTATTGATAATTTCACTTATCTTGGGCTGACAATTTCTAAAGATTCAAAATTAATATTCAAATTAAACTTCGTATAATTTCTTTCGAATCTTAAAAATAATATTAATAACTGGAAGATTTTACCCCTGCATGTCTATGATTGGTCGCATAAAATCAATTAAAATGGTTTCTCTTCTTAGATTTTTATGTCTTTGTCAAAACCTCCATATTTTCCTTACCGCAGCTTTTTTCAAAGGGTTGGATTCTTTAATAATGTCTTATATTTGGTACTATAAAACACACAGAGTGTCAAAAATCCATCCTCAAAAGCCTAGTTCTGCAGGGGGCTTGGGTATGCTAGTATTTAAACATTATTACTGGGCCGCTAACACTAGAGCTTTAATGTTCTGGCTGGAGGACGCACCAGTGACCCCTCTGAGGTTTAAGCTATACACTCTCACTAGTTTTGATTGTATGTTTTGTGACTATGATGTGTGTGTACGTTTTTGTCTTTGTGTTTATTTTGTCTCTTTTCTTTGTTGTTTTCTTTTATATTGTCTTTTGTTTGTCTAAAGTCCGAGCCAATGTTTGTTCTTGTTCTGTGTGTGTGTATATATATATATATATCCCTCGCGGTCTTTTATCATTTCATGTGCGCGGCACTGCGCGCTGCTTTATTTCCGCATAGTAATGATCTTTATATCGCAGATCAAGTGCAGTGAAGGGATTTAGACGCGGTTGCATCAATCACAACAACTTGGTGTAACAACTTTTATATTAGGAAAAAAGATACTGTGGAAGTCAAGGGATACAGCTTTCCAGCATTCTTACAAATATCTTCTTTTGTGTTCAACGTAAGGAGGAGAATCAAACATGTTTAGGCCTATTACAAGCAAAGGGCGAGTAAGTGACAGAATTGTCAGTTTAGGGCTTTAGGCTGTCATGGCAACCACATACAATGCACAATATGCGGGATATGCGCTACTAAGAGTAGGAAATATGTCAGCGTAAGATCATTTCTACGGAAGATTATCAGACTTTAGCGTTAGTGACGAGTTTTTGAAGTTAGTCTAACAAGTGCAACCATTACATTAAACAACGGATTGGAGATGCTTTTATACTAAGCATTCTAAACTTTCCCACGAAGTTCCATAGTAACTAACGCATGTAAGGGCATATACAGTAGCTTACCTTGTCATTGCTGGGGTTGACAGGGATTTTGCTGATAAACTTTCTAAACTCCGGCGATACATCAAACTTCAGCAACAGTGAAGTTTCCCGCAGATTTTTCTCACGCTGGTGCTACAGTGACGTAATTTCCGGGCGCGATTTCTTTTTTCTTTTTCCGTTGCATTTCTTTATATATTTATTTTTTACTCAGTAACGCATATGATTTAAAATGTAGCGAAGTACAATACTTTAGGCAAATCATACTTAAGTAAAAGTAAAATTACAGATTTTAAACTCTACTCTAAAAAGTACAAATTCCCCCCAAAAAAACTAATTAAGTACAGTAACGTGAGTAAATGTAATTCGTTACTTTCCTCCTCTGTCTATGAATTATGACACAGCACAGCTGCCACTGTGTCAAGTAGTTTTCTAACGTTACTTGCCATTTTCACTAGCCACAATTTTGTTGTTGAGAAAATATATTTTATATGCTTAAATTTGACTTTTCATTATTGTACAATTTTTTTTATTTTACTTGATTTAGGACAATTAAAACGTATCTAATCACCCAAAGTATGATATACCAGCTAGTATAGATTAGTCAAGATAGTCAAGATTTGAGGTAGTTCAAAGCCTTTTATCAAAGATGATATAAAACCAAAACAACCCAGCTAACATAAGACCAACGGGCCACTGGCGGCCCGCCGGCGACAAAGTCGGCGGTCCACCGGCGGGCGCCGCCCGCGGTCCACCGTCAATTTGCTCATCGTTATTCCAGCGGCCCACCAGCGGCTGCCGCCGCTTTTCCGACGGTGGTCCGCCATCGCACCGCTGGTTTTAAATAAGTGTCTGCTGGCGGCCCACGGTCGGTCCACATGTCATTTTTAAATATTATATTAGCCTTTACAATTGTATTCAATATAAATATGTCCAATAATGAAATCAAGTACAAAATACTAATCATTATAACATTTATTTATAATACTGCATAACGAACATACATTAAACACTTAATGAAATGTTTCAAAAACACATAGCCTACGTTAACAAATATAAAAAAATAAATATAAAATACATACAAATATAATATAACAACATGCATACAACAGTTACATTTTACAGTGGTTTTATAAGTAATGTTAATGGTTTAAATGTGAACTAATATATGAACAATACCTGTACAGCATAATTTATGTACAGCATTTACTAATGCATTAATAAAATCAGTCATGCTTGTTACATCCATTCTTGTCTTAGGACAGCTTTGTAACATTTTTGTGATCTACTTCAAATACTAACTAACATTATGTTTGATAGGGTTTGAACTCTATTCACTAGTTCACACTTATTGATTGGGATCATTATGGGGCATCGGTAAGAATGCACATAATCCAGGAGTCCAGTCAGAGGTATTTAATGGGTTAATTTAAGTATGCATGTGTGTAGTTTACTCATAAGCTTGGCTGTGATACATCTGGCGACTCAAATGCCTTTCACGAGCCCTCTCACGAGTCCTCTGTAGCACTAGAGCGAAACTACAAGTTGCGGCAGTCTCTGGGGGCGGGACTAAGGCATAGCTGTCAATCAATTCTAAACTTCTATTAAATCCCTAAACATTTTCAACAATATACCTGTTGTATCACTAGACATTATTCATTAAAATAGATTACTTTTAAGCAATACAATAACAATGGTGCATATAAGATTAACTGAAAAAAGACACTTTAACTATTTATTTAATTACTTTTATGACTTATTATTTGAAAGCAATACATACTGTGTTGCTGCAGAGTGTAAAATAAATCTGCACTAAAATTTAGAACAAACAACATTTTAGCTCATTCATTATAAATTACAAAAGTAATTAAAGCAAATGTACATTTTGATATGTAAATGAATAGCACACGGATGTGGGGGTGAAAGTAAAGTATATTAAATATCATAACAGCTTTCATCATCAGAATCATTTTCTTTCTGCTGGTCTCTCTGAACCATGAAAGCTGGCCTTTGAGACCGAATGCTTTCAATGTGCCACAAATTGATAGCTGAGTCTGGATCAAAGTCTGTGATGGAAGCAGAGGATAGCTGCACCGTGAGAAGGTCTGACAATGTCTGACTTAGGAAACCAGCCTGCCAGTCACTTTTGACATTCTTTATGGCACTAAATCCCCGCTCAAAATCTGCTGTTGAAGCAGAGATGCAAAGGATGAGATCAATCCAATCAAAAGATGTTTTGTAGAGCACTGAAGTCCTGGTATAGCCTCGACTTTAGAACTGTCTATTGGACCAGGACTTCACCCACCTTTACACCAGATCTCAGCAGCACAGGTTCAAAGTGATGCGTAATGAGTGTATATGATATATATAAAATTATGTAGAATATTTTGTTTGAATTGGTCACTTTAAATATAAAAATTTTAACTCACTAGCATTTCTGCCTGCCTCTGGCCAGTATTGGAAGTTGGTAATCCGCATGGCACGCTGAATCTCATGACTGACATCTCCAAGCCATTGTCTTTGACAGCAGGTCTATCAGGTGGTCTTTGAACTTATTAGGTGTGGTCATCACATGGCTTTAGACTGACACCCTCATATCAGTTTGTTCCCAGCGTGGTCTTCAGTTTAGAAACAGGTCTACAAATGATGAACGAGAGAGAAAGCAAGAGTGAGAGACTTTAAAGGACTTAAGATATTAGTAGCAGTAGTTTTATTTTAAAATGATAAACATACACTTAACAAGTGATTAAATCATAAGAGTCTGTTTTATGGCAATACCTTGATTTGTATTTAAACATTAAATCCAAGGTATAGAGGACAGGCATTCATGGACTTCGGCCACAGTCACAGAGGAGTGCTGCATAGATTGGGACTGACTGCTGAGCTGGGTTAGAACATCACGAAGAAAGCAGGTGAATTTGATGACAGTGCCATCCTTCATAATATGGAGAAAACCTCTGGCTTTTGCCTTCTGCAATTCATTTCCAGCAACTTCAGGTGACTGTGTCTGACATAAATGCAAAGAATGTAATAAAAAATCATTACTAATCTACTACAATTAACAAACATTTTTTTTACCACAATGTATTAATTTCAGATCACAGTCCCCTTACCATGTCTATCGATCTCTCTCTTCCTAAACAATGTTACTCCTGGCGTCTCAATCCATATTTATCAAAGCAAGATAAATTCATAGAATACATTGATACTAAACTAAAAGACTTTATAGAAACCAGTGATAATGGGGAGGTCTCCGACTCCACACTGTGGGTAACCTTAAAAGCATATGTTATTTCTTGTGAATCTGTTTCTAAAAGAGAAAGAGAGAAACGACTTAAGGAAATACTGTACAAAGTATTCCTCCTACTCACGAATTGGCATATCTAACGTCGAAGTCGTTTAAAGATTATAATAAAATAATAAACTCAAATATGAATATAGTTGTATTCTGGATCACCAAATAAACAATCTTTATTTAAAAAGGAAGTAAAGATATTTTGAAACAGGTGATAAGCCTGATAAGCTTTTAGCGCGTCAGCTTGAAGGAATTCAAGCTTCCAGGTCCATCCATAGTATTAAGTTCAAACACGGCACCCTTTTAGTTAATTCCAGTAATATCAATGCCGAAGAATTCTACAGGGAGCTTCATACCTCCAATAACACGTCCACTCATAATAATTTATCAAACTTTTTGAATCTTTTGATATGGCTAAACTTAGTAACAATGCAAGGGCAGATTTAGGCTCTGATTTTACCAAGGAGGAGATAGATGCTGCCATAAAGTCATTTCCATCTGGTAAAGCGGCAGGGCCAGATGGATTCGGCCCTGAATTTTATAAGAAATTTAGTAATGTTGTCTCCCCTCTGCTCCTTAGGATGATACATAGTTTCAAAAAAGATAAGATTTTGCCCAGTACACTATACAAAGCTAACATTTCTATTTTTTTGAAGAAAAACAAAGATGAAACTGACCCAGCCAGTTATAAGCCAATTGCGCAACAAATATTGGATAGAAAAGTGATCACTTAAGTGTCAGGCATGCAACTTAATAAACATTTATCATCCATCATTCATCCCGACCAGACTGGATTTATCCCTGGAAGATTCTCTTTCTTTAATGTACATCGCCCTCTTAATACAATATTTGCCAATCATGCAAAAACAACAGGGGCGGCAATTTTATATTTTGACGCACAAAAAGCTTTTAATCAAGTTTAATGGCGTTATTTATATCATTACAAAGGTTTGGATTTGGTCAAACGTTTATGTCATGGGTTAGATTAATATACGCCAAGGCCATGAGTTCAGTTTTGACTAATACAGACAGATCACCTAAATTTCCTTTATGACGATCAGTACTACAGGGTTGCCCTCTCTCTCCTGCCCTTTTCGCTATTGCGATTGAGGCCCTAGCCCTAAGCATAAGATGTCACATAGAAATTACAGGCCTTCAAATGGGAAACAGAGAAGTTCTTATTAGCCTTTATGCAGATGACATTATACTGTATCTGTCAAACTCTGAGCATTCAGTCCCAACTCTTTTGAATCTTATCAATTCTGTTGGAAAAATATCAGGATATACAAATCAATCTGTCCAAAAGTATATTCATGCCCCTTTCTGACATTTATGACCCTGACTTCCTTGAAAGTATTCCATTTAAAACAGTTATTGATAATTTCACTTATCTTGGGCTGACAATTTCTAAAGATTCAAAATTAATATTCAAATTAAACTTCGTATAATTTCTTTCGAATCTTAAAAATAATATTAATAACTGGAAGATTTTACCCCTGCATGTCTATGATTGGTCGCATAAAATCAATTAAAATGGTTTCTCTTCTTAGATTTTTATGTCTTTGTCAAAACCTCCATATTTTCCTTACCGCAGCTTTTTTCAAAGGGTTGGATTCTTTAATAATGTCTTATATTTGGTACTATAAAACACACAGAGTGTCAAAAATCCATCCTCAAAAGCCTAGTTCTGCAGGGGGCTTGGGTATGCTAGTATTTAAACATTATTACTGGGCCGCTAACACTAGAGCTTTAATGTTCTGGCTGGAGGACGCACCAGTGACCCCTCTGAGGTTTAAGCTATACACTCTCACTAGTTTTGATTGTATGTTTTGTGACTATGATGTGTGTGTACGTTTTTGTCTTTGTGTTTATTTTGTCTCTTTTCTTTGTTGTTTTCTTTTATATTGTCTTTTGTTTGTCTAAAGTCCGAGCCAATGTTTGTTCTTGTTCTGTGTGTGTGTATATATATATATATATATATATATATATATAATGTAGCGGCTACGTGAA